TTTAGTTGCATTGTTAGCCGTGTCACAGAGACTAGGATCATTCATTTAAACATTCAGTCGCCATTCAACATCTAAGCGGAAAAATCCTCCCGATAGAAAGAAAATGTTTGGTCGCGTCTCTTATAATCGAGTTATTTATTTTCAAACTCTTTTATATCATAAAAGATCGTGAATTAAAAGTACTTTTATCGTGCTTTTTTAAAATTCTAAGCAGATAATTCTGATCGAGCAAACGTGAGAAAAAAAAATCCGTAACTGACATAAACGATTGTAAATGATTCCAAATATTTTTCTTTCCTCTTTTTGTTCTCTATTTATTTTATTATATAATTATAAAGATAAGTTTCAAAAAAATTAAAGTGCTCCGCTACCTATTATCTTAAGATATGCGGTTATTCGTTATCATTACACAAACTTATGTTAGTCTAACACGGTAATTATTATTTAGCGATCCAAAATTAATGAGAATCAATTTATTTAAATGACACTAATGTAATTTCAAATGTGATTTCAAAATGTGTATATATATATGTAAAAACGACTAGATTTTCAGTTACGGTTTAATGCATAAATTTATATCGTTCCGATAATATGATGCTAAGTCGACTTTAAGCGAAATATCCCTAATATTTTACATCGATTAACAAGTGGAATCATGATAATTTATCGACAGCTAAATTGTTTTATCGAAACCGTTTTCTCCGGTTGTATGGCGTATCGCCACAACGTATAAAATACAATTCGAGTTGAAGGCGGATTACAAGTCACGTAATAAAATTAAATTAAATTAAAAAAAAATATATATATATCAGCGATAAACGGCGGAGCGATACACGCAACACGATTAAATTCTATGTATCTTTCATCGATTCGCGGTATCTGAAAAGAGTACATATTTCCGCATTTAAGCGTTATTTTGACGAAGACGCCCCTCACCGTACCACGATTCCTCTACTTTCGAATCTCGTCCGTGAGGTTAGAATCAGCTGATGTAAGAATTCGCAATCGCTTTATAACGCTTCATGCTCGTTAGACCGAATACTCCTCGGTTTAAAGCGACGGAAAATACGCATAGCCAGAAAAGCGCCGAGGAAAAGCTGTTAACAATAAAAAGGGTAGAAAAAAATATACCTTCTTTTTTACAAGTATTTCAGCGCAGCCGTATCGGCGACGCGTCGGTATTTAACAATCACTCATTGTCAGTTATGTGAGAGAGCAAAAAGGAGCGCAGGAGAATTCGCAGACGAGCGAGCAGTTGGGTTAGATTGCAGAAATCGTGCTATCGATGTGATGTGACGTGACGTGAGATGATTCATCTGTTTTCGCGTTCTCGGGAAGAGAGGGATGATCTTTGCAAGAAAGTTAGGCGATTACGTCGGAGCTACTTTTCTTGTAAAGAATGCATCGAGGACCGCAGCACATGAAAAATTCCGTAAGCGCGGAAGTGCGTCTGGCTCCGTTACGCACACGTAATAATTTTTCGGTTCGGCTCGGCCCGTACTCTCGTGTTCTCGTATTACGTAATTACCGTTGTCAAAGCAGCAGACGTGTCGACATCGCGCGATTCGTTCGCTCGCTGCTGCTGCTGCTGCTGTTGCTCGAAAGTTGCAAAAAGGGAGACCGTACACTGAGACGAAGGCGTATCGAATTTTCGGGTTTATCGGCCTCGCGAAAAGTTCTCGGAGCTTTCTCGAAGGTGAGAGTGAGAGAGTGTGAGAGAGAGAGAGAGAGAGAGAGAAAGAGAGCAGCTGTTCGCGAAGAAAACCGGCCCTCTCTCGAACGTGATCTCCTTCAAGAAGAATAGATTATGGGAAGGAACACAGAGAGAGAGAGAGAGAGAGAGAGAGAGAGATATGGGGAGGGGGATGATGGAGAGGGTGGGGGGGAGGCAAAGAGAAGATCGAGATAACTTGTCGAAGAGTTTCCAGGCGTCAGCGACGGAAAGACAAAATTTCGTCACGACAAAATTTCGCACAAAATATGACGAGTAAGTGAGCGAAACGATCGGATACCTCGCCGTTTCTCTCATTCTCTCTCCTTGATATGATATTACGATACACACGTACGTAGCCACGCGCGCGTGTACACGCAGAGATACACATATGTGTCGATAAATGCGTATCGTGCGCTTGAGCGCACATATACATCGACAAGCGCGTGCGCGCGTCCATGATGATCCTAGCCTCTCTAACGCGAAAAGCATGAATGCTGATATGACAAGAACTACTCACCCGATTCTTGAGGTATTCTTGGATGGCACGATACGATGAATCGGTGAGTTTCGCGAATATTAGAGACTTGTGTTCGTCAAAATTGTCGTGCGACGACAAACCATACTGAACACCTGGCACCAGCGCCATTTCTCCGTCTCCCATTTCGCCGTGTGCGGCTTCTCACTGTCTCGCTCCCACTTACGAATGATTGCTCTTGGCGCAAAACCAGCTGACGTCCTCTCCGCTCGTTCGTTGGAGTTCGCGTACGACGATAACGAAATTCTCCTCTTTCTCTCTCCGCACTCGCGTTTCTGTTTAAAAACTCGTTTTCTCGTCTTTCTCACCGTCGTCCATCGGACGAGTTCCGCGCGGCGCAAAGTTTGCGCCGTACGGCGCGCGGAACGAACACAGCCGACGACACCGACAACGAATATCTTCAGCCGGAACTCTTGACGCGAGACAAGACGTTGCCTCGCGAAACGTGTTTTTCCTTCTCGCCACGCTCGCACCACCTCTTCCTCCTCCGTCGCCTCCTCCTCCGCCTCCTCCTCCTCCACTGCCGCCACCGCCAGCGTCACCACCGCCACTTCCTCTCGCGCGCACGGTCACCGTATGTTTTCTATCTCTCTCTCTCTCTTTCTCTCTCACGATTCTCGACACACTATTGCTCGCGATGAGCCCCCCCCCCCACCCCCC